AAAAATTGCACTTTTCTGTTGGTCTTGGTTAAGTACATCCTTGAAAAAAATAAACAATGTTTTGTTGCTTAAGCTTATGTATTCAGTCATTATTCAATGGAAATCCATGTGAAAAAAATTGCTTCTCACTGTTCTCAGGTCAAATATTTATATGTGATTAAAAATGCGATTAATTGCGATTAATTAATTACAAAGCCTGTAATTAATTAGATTAATTTTTTTAATCGAGTCCCGGCCCTAATAATTATGTTATTATATTGTACTGTACTTGAGTAAAATGTTGAGGTCCTTGTACTTTACTGGAGTATTTAAGTATTTTGCTACTTAGTACTTCTACTCCACTACAGTTCAGAGGTAAATTATGTACTTTTACTCCACTACATTTATTGAATACCTTTAGTTACTTTGCAGATTTGTATTAATGATGTGAACTATAATTAAGTGTTAAATCAGACTTTAGTTCCACGTGGAGTAAATTCACAAGCTGTAGCTGTAGCTGCAGTATACAAAGTCATTCAAACTAGCTGCACCTTTACCAGCTTTGATAACACTTTAATGATCAATAACTATAAAACATATCATATATATTATTCTGAAATGGACCAATCTGCACAATGACTACTTTTACTGTCGCTACTTTAACTATATTTTTATACTTTTCTACTTTTACTTGAGTAACATTTTGAATGCAGTACTTTTACTATAACAGAGTATTCCTACACTCTGGTACTTTTTTACTTAAAGGTGACCTATCATGCAAAATGCACTTTTGTACGTCTTTTATACATAAATATGTGTCAGAAAACACAACCCTCTCTCTTTTCCTCCATACCCAAATCTCTAAAAACGGGGCTGCAACGGAGCTGATACAGACGTTAATTCTTATGACGTCAGAAAAAGGGGGTGCTCCGCCTATATGGGCAACTCTCCACCTATCAGGGGAATGGGGGGTTGGGCCACGGCCATTGCCGCTTGAAAGCGCTGGAGACGCTGTAGTACATATGCCAGGCCTGTAAGTGGCACTGTAGTCTGTCACAAAAGCAGCGAAGAAGACTTCCCGCGCATGGTTGCCATGGTTGCCCTTCTGTTTATTCTCCGCTGTGGACGCTCTGGCTCTTTTTCTCCTTCCCCGAGGCAAGCGTTTGCTCCTGCTGCTGTAATTCAATGCAAATCCCTCCCCGACGGTCAACATGTCCGTTAAAGTTTAAATCTTCCGGACAAAATTAGAAAAGTGCCAGTCAAAGGTCTTCTTTGTTATTTATTGAGCTTTAAAACAAATGAATAATGACTCTATATAATCATATAAGAATAAAACACGGAGGACGGAGCCTCTCTTTTCCTCCCCCTCTTCTGTGAGCCCAGCAGCTGATCTCAGTGCACCTCCCCTCTCCTGCAGGGGGGCGTGGTCAGCTGATGCTCATTTGCATTAAAGCTACGTCACAGAATCAGCCCTTGCAAAAACAGGGCTGGAAAAGGGCAAATAGAGCGAAATGAGGCATGGCTAAAATGCATGATCGGTTTGGTATTTTGAAAAACAAAACTGACATGACATGTTTTATATAAGTATGGCCCTACAATATATTATTCAAATATAGCGTGATAGGTCCACTTTAAGTAAGATTTTATATGCAGGCCTTTTACTTGAATTGGATTATTTTGACATTAACGTGTTGGTACTTTTACTCAAGTAAAGCTGAAAAGGCCTAATTCTTCCACTACCTGCCTAAAACAACGCACCCCTCCCCCTCCATCTAATCACCATTAAACAATTAAAATTGAAAAACACTTATTCCATAGCATTAAAATACTTATTACAATTATTTTTGACAAAAATATGACAGGATAACAACAAGCTTCAGTGAACTGCTGATGCGGTTTTATTTGAGACATTTGGTTTATAGATGACAGTAACAATCAATCTGGTAAATCACTTTTGTCATAATCTGAATGATTCCATCATTTTCAGATTTCTGTATTAAAATGAACACCAAATAATTTGGTTATGCGCCTCAGCAGTTTTGCAGTATAATCTTTGTTCCACATAGTGGATTCATAAAAAACATAAATAGCAGAAAAAAACATTCAAAACTGTTTTGATCAGCAACTATTACAATTAAAACAAGCAGTAGTGACTACATTTTGTGAGTAAAACTGATATAAACCTCTTCAAATAATTGACTACTGTCTTGTTGCATACACGCAAATGCTTGAGTATATTCTAAAGGTGTAAGGAGAAGGAAAACAAAATGTAATCACATTGGTGTTAAAGTGCTTCCTTTTTAGCCCTTAGCTTTTCAAAGCTGTTGAATTAGTGTAGTTGAGCCACCACACCACACCACAGTCGAACACCTGAAACAAGTTCTTGAATCCACAGAAGCCGTGTTACTCTCACTAATGTGAACAACAATCTTCCTCCAGCAGCAACTTGGCTTTTCCACCCAATTACTCACTAAGTCGGCTTTAAGTTCCAAACCTCAAACCACATTTCCCTCTCTGCTTCATTCAGTCCTAAATAACGTCATGCAGAAACATCCAAAATGGTGACCCCTCCTCCTCCATCAGGAGCTCCAAAAAGCTGAGTTCAGCTGGCCTTTTGGAGGCCGGATCTGTCGGCTCTGCAGTGACGTCTGCATACGGAAGGAGAAAATATTAGTTCTCAAAAGAAACAAACCCAAGATTTAGATTACACAAACTTATTGAAAACTAAATTCCAATTGGTCAATGTGGACATTTAGAGGTCTGCTTTTTTTCCAATAGCAGACTGCTGACAGTTTTCAGTTTTTTGCAGTCATATAAATCCGCCGAAAGATTACTTTAAACATGGCCAAAATGGTTAAAGCCTGTCGCCACGTCAGGGATCAGCTGTGCGGCAGGCTTTAACCATGGCCAAAATAACACTTGTTTTTGACAGACTTCAGACTTCACTTTTAAATCATTATTGGGGGTCAAGTCTATGATTTATTTAATAAGCAGCATTGAAATAAGCAGGATAATGTGCAATGACCGGCTCCATGCAGATTATCTCTTACATATTTGATTGCAAATATTTTTTAATTGTTCAGTGCAAATATTTAAGTATTATTTAATTATATTCGACTGTTTTTTATGGCTATTCTATTTTTCTTTCCATTTATTTTAATCACTATTTAGATTTGTTTCTGTGTGTGAAGTACGGAGGTGGCTACAACTGCATTTCCATGTGTAATCCTGCAAAATAAAACTGAACCTTCAGAACAATCAATAACAGAAAACACCATGTTGTAATCTATTAATAGATTCTCCAGACTGCATTTTTACTTTTTAGTCTTCACCTGCATGTCATAATTTTGGAAAATGTTTTAGTTTGTTATATTGTTCATTTCCCTCAACTTTGTAAGCAAATCCTGAGCAGGCAAGGTATTAAACCATTTTGAACCCTGGAAAGGCGATTTAAAAGACGTACAACATTGCTAACATTAGCGGTGGGTAGCGTACCTCTAGAAAGTGTTTGAGTCTGATGACAGAGCCCATCTGTCCACTGCTGGTCACCGCTTCAATTCTGGAGACAACGAAGACACACAATCAGCACATCAGTCTATAGGAAGTTAAAACGGTAACATATTTAACCTGACAATGAAAAACAGTTTAAAATCTTTAAAGTTTACCTTGGGAAGTACTCCTCTTTAAGTAGCAGGATGAGTTTCCAGAACTGGCTTTGATACTGCCTCATCAGAGCGTGACCACAAACCTGAAGGAGACACAAACAAAGAAGATTCACACTAAAGTTAAGATGTTTAACCAAAGTTATAAAATTAAACACATTACTTGAGCAGCTCTGAAAAATACTGACCACGGTAAAACATTTAAGAGAATTGTTGCTTTGTATCGTTAAACCAAAATCTGACCTTCTCTTTCTTTCCAAGATCCTTAGAGCTACAAAACAGTTATTTCCTAAATAAAAATAGTTTATCAGAGGATTTTCAATCTGGCTTGAATGCACCCTAGCACAGAGATTGCTTTTGTAAAAGTCAATGACCTTCTCATTGCATCAGAAAAACTACTTGTCTCCATTCTGTCTTGTTGGATCTCAGCACTGCATTTGATACCATTGACCACAACATTCTACTACAGAGACTACAACATTTAATTGCCATAAAGCTTACGGCACTGAGCTGGTGTAAGTCCTACTTATCTGAACAGGTAGGTACCCGTTAACGATGAATCCTTCATGTAAACCAGCCATGGAGTGCCACAGGGCTCTGTACTTGGACCTATTCCTTTCACCCAAAAATGCTCCTGTTAGGTAATATAAGGAATCACTTTCATTGTTGTGCGGATTAAGCTCAATCGTATTGACTGGCCAAGTCTGTTAAAACCAATGGATTAAATAAATCACGGATTGAAGCTATTATCTATATTATTATTTATTATTATTATTATTATTATTATATTATTATTATTATTATATATTATCTTTAAGTGAGGAAAGAGCTCACATTTGAATCATTTTTTATTTGCACATACCGACCAGATTGCACAAATACAAAACTGGTCAAACAATGGTAAAAACACCTTTGAACTGCATTGTTAATAGTAGTATACTAAACGCTTAATAAACCTTAAGACAAACTGTAACTACGGTTTACTAAAACACACTTTTAAAAACGATGATGCTGTCCTTTTGAAGAATAATTTATTGTATCGCTTTATAGCCAGGATTTCTTCTATCTGGCTCCCAAAGCCCACCTTTTTTGCTTATACCTTGGCGAATGATAAAAATAAAATAAATAAGACAACAAAAAAAGCACTTAAGAGTTTTACTTATGCACCTGCACAATGATATTGCTTGTTTTAAGTAAATATGTCATATTCTAATCATTATTGGAACTATAATTACGCTGAATAATCTCCATTAGGACCTTTATGTATGTAACAAATACAAAAAAAATACTCGCCTCAAGAAAGTCGAACAGAAGCGTGGCCGTGATGTCAGCCAGAGGCTCCATGTTGAGCATCTGAGCCAACCAACGCCAGCCGTGTTTCAGACCGTGAGGAGCAGACTGAAAAGCAGCAAAGCAAAAGTTAATAAAAAATGTTTAAGATGCAGGAGCTTAACAACGTTTTTTTGATTGGGCTTTATTTTTACCCCCTGCTTGGAGCCGTAGGGCCACCTCAGCTGGATGAGGGCGGCGTAGAGACGGATCATCCCGGACATCCTCTTCAGAAAACTGTCCTGACCTTCCACCCCGGAGTCGTCCACACGGTAACCAATAATCCTGAAGGAGGATTGTTGTTGTGATTAATAGAACACAACCCATAATGTTCTCTTCAAAAGGTCTGCATCGGCTACCGTATCGTTTAGAATGTTTTAATTCCTTCTACCGTTAAACAAAGCTCCTAATGTTCTGGAACTCTTATCTCACTGATTCTATGTCGTTTTATGTCTCTGTGTGAGCCCTAAGGTCCTAAATCTCAGGCTTCTTTTACATTTTCTAAAAGTCCCGCCAAAATGAAATACGCCCCCAAACTTTGAAACACACTCACAGGTAATGTTAGAGATGCAAACTCAGTAGACATTTCTTTATAGATTTTTCTTTCTTATCATTTGCAAAACCCCCTCCAATTGATTATAATTTTTTTGTGTCATTATGGTTTTATACATTGATAGTTTTGATTATTTTACTGTATTATATTGTCTCTATTTCTTTACTTGATATTTTTTATATTATTTAATCATTTTACTGTATTTATTCATTAGTCTTATGCCTTTTTATACTTTCGGATTATATTTGTTATTGTATCTGTAGAATAATATGTATCATGTTCAGATGCTGCATGTGTGCTAATAGGTTTTGCCCTTTGACTTGAATTGAATGTTTTATGTCCTGTTTACCTCATGTTAAACCACTTAGAGCTGCCTCCTGTGTATTTAAACTTCTATACAAAGAAAGCTTTAATGATATTACCATTACAATAATAATAACAACAACAAGGTGGATCAAAACATTTCTTTCTCCCTGACCTCTGGTAATCCTCCACAGTTGTGCCTTCTTTCATCGGAGGGTAGTGTGGGACTGCGTACGGACATTTCTTGTGCAGGTGGGCGAGGATGAGATCCCCCACCCTAGGGTGCAGCTCCCAGACGCCGGCGGCAACCATGGCGATGGGGAAGGCGGCTTCGTGGTGAGACGCCACCTCCTCTTCTCCTTGTTTCTGAGGCGGAGAAGGAAAAAACAAAATCACAATCTCAGAAGGGGTCATTCAGCGTGTTTATTCGTACACGTTGAAAAGTCTGAGTAAATAGCAAAAAAAAGAGTCCAATGTGAGGCAAGTTTTCTAATAACCAGTTTTTTCTAAAGAAAAGTCCAAAAATATTTCCTTTGCAGTAATATCACAATATTCATCCAATAAGCTTGAAACACAGAAGGTTTCACTTATGACAAGAGTTGGGGATGCATTTTCTCTTAATTATACGGGCCCTACTACTAAAATCTCCACGTTCCTCTCCAGCACGAAATGAACCTGAAATGAGCACAATAGGGCCCATTTAACCAAGTTAAACTAGATTATAATGCAATCTGACGCTTTTTTCCTTTTTAAATACATTTAAAATGTACGTAAAAACTGTTAAAAAGAAAAACAGAGGATTTCATGATATTTTTCCACTTACATTTTAAACATGTAATGATGAATTTAACACTTTTAAAGTTGTTAAGACATTTTGATGACATTGAAGTTGTTCAGAACAAACTACATAAGGGTAGTTTCTGTATGAAAATCAGTTGCTTTTTTAAATGTACATCATTTTTTGCATAACACATCTTCTCTCCTCCTTCTGGGATAATAAAATAATACATATCTAACAGACTCACCACAAACTTTTCTGCCAATTTGTAACTGACAAAGTCCAGGCCCTGGGGATGCTGGGAGGTGGAGATGGTCCTCCCCCCAGACACCAAGCCCCGTCCCGACAGCAGCTTGTCGATCTTGTCAAAGATTTCTCGGAGCTGCGACCCAGAGTTGCTGGAGATCTGACTGACGGGGATGGAGGCCGCCTTCTGGAGCTCCAGCTTCAGCTTCTTTGTCTTTGAGAAGAGACGTAAAACTAATGTTTAAAGAGTTGTGTTCACAAGTTAAACATAAAATTAAAAAAACACATCTAAACATATATTGGCTGGTTATTGAAGGCAAGGCCAGTTTAATAATATAGCACATTACAACACTAAGATATAGTGCAACCGCAACAGAAACACTTTATAAAGTGACATTATAAATGCAGTTCAAAACAGTCATTAAGGTAATGAAAGAAAAAATAAAACAAATGCAATAGAATAAGACCAGAATAAAAGTCACAGTGCAGTGTAAGATATTAATTGTTATTTTATATATTATCCCACCTTTATTTAAACCAAAATACTTTTTAGGTTGCCCCCATAATCCGTCTGTTAGAGTTTTTAAGACTGAAGTACAGGAAGTCGGTATCAAATATCGGATTCATTCACTTTGATATACAGTACTGACTTGTATATAAATTAGTGCGGTCAACGAGTTACAAAAATGAATGTAAAATGATCACATTTCCAAGTTTGACCAACAACATTTTCCAGTATTTCCAGCTTGGATGTTTACAATGAAAAGAACCGCAGTAATATTGCACAGAAGGCGGTGGAACTGGCACACACTCCATGTATTGCACTGACTGGAGACCACTGGACATCAGTAAGAGCCATCACTACCTCGCTGTAACAGCACACCTAATCCGTGACAAATGGTAACTGCACTTGTGTGGTTCAAATGGAGGAAAGGCATTTTGATAGCGGAAAGGTTCCCCACTGTAGGAACAGACAGTGATGGCAGTATGATAAAGGCAGAGATAATATGCCCTGTGTAGCAACCGTTATATGAGGGGAATCACAGCTGCTCTCTGAGACAGCAGGTTTGTCTATGCCTTAGCTAAGTGTCGGAGAATTGTCGCACTTAATGCAACTAATTCAGAAATCAAATTATAATAAAGTAAAAAACCCTCTGATTTATCCCACCAGTTTGTCATACATTTCTTAATTACAACACAAATTTGTTTTATCTTCCCCCAAAATAAAAGTATTTTAATCTTGTGATCAATCCTTGATTATCATTGTGATTAAGGCAATTACATCTTTTAATCGTTTGACAGCACTAATAGGGAGGCGTGTGGTGCAGTGCGTAGAGCCTTGGTGTTGGAGCACAGGTTCAAACCCCACTGCAGTCAGCATGTCGTTGTGTCCCTGGACAAGACACTTCACCCCAAATTGCTCCTGTGGGGATTGCCCACAGTATTGAGTGTGAAAGTCGCTTTGGATAAAA